CCCCCCCCCCCCCCCTGCAGAAGGCATCAATGACGGAACTGATTGTAGCAATACTAGATTTACAGCCATTTGCGATCATCAAATTCACCCAGTGAAGTGCCTGTGATGACTGCCCTTTTAAGCAGTTTGCATTTATCACAGAATTATGCGAATAAACATCTGGTTCACAGCTAAATTTGCTCGTCACATGCTCCAACCTTTCTACAAAACCCAAGAATCATTATGTTAAACATATAATTATGAGGGAGAGGTCCCTTTCGAACCACATACCTAAACAACTTCCCTACAACACAACACAACAAGACCTAACAGTTCCTTCACAGTCATCCTTAAATGCCAGCTTAAAGAACGCAAACGCGGTTCCTCAACATTCAAACAATTTCATAATCTTGACAAAAAAAACAGGGTATAAATTCCTCAAAAGTATCTTCAAACCCTATACAGCTTAATCGCTTTGGATAACCTAATAGTGACCCTACTGTCACTGAACTCACAGAGATGAATCTCAAAGTACCGTCGTTGGAAGGCAAAAATTGAACTACGTAATCAAAAGCAAGACTATCCAAATCCGAAGAAGACGACGAACAATACTCATTTATAAACTTGGGGAATGTGGTTTGGGGTGAACTCAAAGAAGAAGACCAATGCAGTAATGCACCATAAAAGATTTCTGTAGGCGACGCACATTGACAAACATTGTAAGGCAGCGCAGCATCAAAGAGCTTTTCACTTACATTCAACCCGGAGGTTGATCGGAGATTACGCGGCGGACGGCGAGTTACAGAGGCGGGAAAGAACTGGGAGAGGGATACCATGTACGGTCAGCAGGAACTGGAAGACGATATTTCGAAATGGGCCTCAGCAGTTGAAATTTGGGCCGGATATTGGGCTCTCTTGAGAAGCTCATGTACTTTAATGGGCCTTGAAAGGGAAACGGCCCAATGATAGTAGGCTTGGGCCGAATCCCAATTTATAAATTAATTAAGAACACTAAATAGCTAAATTAGGCCATACACGTATCAAATAGAAAATAAAATTTTGAAAATTAAAATATTAAAATTTAAAACATTAAAAACATTTAAAAAATAACTGATATTTATCTAGTAATTTTAATTATTATTAACGCATGGTAAACGGTAATTTTAATATTTATGATATAATTGTTTAAATAAATCAACTAATTAATTTTTATCCTCCTACAACTATTATTCGTGTGATTCGTTATAATATATTATTTATATGAAAAATTTGTTATTTCATTCTTATTTTTTAAAATTAAAATTTTATTAAAAATCACAGTTACGTTAAAACTGATATGACATAAAGTAATAATTTTAATTTGTGTGTTTTTTTAATTACCCTCTAACTAAATTCATTCAGTTAATTCAAAAAAATTATTAACTACTACTAATTGAAATTCAATATGAGAATAATATAATTTCCCTTAAGTAAAACTGGCGATGCAAGATGAATCGGTAGCTAGGTTACGGTGCTTATCTGTGTGCACTAACCTATATCCCACAAAGGGTGATGGTCGATTAAGATAGGAAGACAGTGGTCGTGGAAGTCAAAATCCGCTAAGGAGTGTAACAACTCACTTGTCGAATCAATTAGCTTCGAAAATTTATGACGTATATCATTCAATCTCACTACTCGTCTAGTTTATTCGCTTTGAGTAAGACAATATATAACAATTTTTTTTCAACGACAAAAATAAATAAAGTGTTTGTTTTTCCCGTTTGCCAAGCTGTTTAGAAAGATGCATTATTAACTTTGTTGCTTTCAATGGCTGAAAAAGATAATGGAAATATGCAAAAAGCTTATCTTTTTGTCTAAAGAAATAAAATTGCAAAAGAATATTAAACGAAAGCTTTTTTTCCCCCTTTAATTTCTCGATTCGATTTTAAATAATAAATGTCACAGTTTTATTCGATACTTTGAATTTTTATTTTTTTTCAAAATTAAATGAAATTTTATTTGAAGAAATAAAATAATAAAAAATGTAATGAAACCTAGTTTTTTTCAAAATTAAATGAAATTTTATTTGAAGAAATAAAATAATAAAAAATGTAATGAAACCTAGAATTCCTAAATTATTGTTCATTAGTTTCGTTTTTTAATACTGATTTCACAAAATTAATCTTGAATTCCCATTTTTGTTTAAGTTTTTTTTTTCTTTTAATTTTTTGAAGATCGATTTAAACATCAATTCTCTAGAAAAAAAAAATTATTTTCGATAATCAAAATTGAAGGGAAAGAAAAAAAAAATTCTACCAAAATTGTGTGTGTGTGTTTTTTTTTTTTTCCTCGAGAGAAACTGCAAAGAACCACCCAATCTCAGGACTGCTTTCCCATGGTTTTTTTAATACACATTCAGAGATCAAAAAGTTATTTATAGATTTTTTTTTTTTCTTTTGGTTCTCTGAAAATCGGGTCCTGAAGCTGGCAATGAGAATTCATTCTCAGCCTTTTTTTTTTCTTTTGGTTCTCTGAAAATCGGGTCCTGAAGCTGGCAATGAGAATTCATTCTCAGCCTCCACTCAACCTCACAATTTTCGTTTTCCAAATTGGGAAAGATGTTTCTCTGTAGAAGAAAATTTGTTCTGATTCGGATAGAAGATCTCAGGCCACCGCAACGGTGCCGGATCGAACAGTTTTCTTGAATTTGTTCTGATTCGGATAGAAGATCTCAGGCCACCGCAACGGTGCCGGATCGAACAGTTTTCTTGCTAGTTTCTTGCTTTCTGTGGTTTTGAGTGCTAGCAGAAGAAGAAGAAGAAGAAGAAGAAGAACGTCTCCAGTTTTTCTCCTTTGCCTCATCGACATCAATCTGTAGAAGAAGAAGAAGAAGAAGAAGAACGTCTCCAGTTTTTCTCCTTTGCCTCATCGACATCAATCTGTTCTTGCCGGCACTCTTTGCTACAAAACGGAGTGTTTCCTCTGCAATACAGTAACAAAACTTTCAATTCTCAGATCAAAACATCAAAATCAGAACAAAACGACCACAAATCAGTCCTATCTAAACATAATTCAACTCCAAAATCACTTTCCATCACTCAAACAAACCTAAACCTAAAAAACACCACACAAATTCGATCTAGCATAATTCGACGCTTATCAAGCCTCAAATTATCAACAACTAAACAGAAAACTCTCAATTGAAACTCAAGATAACCACAAACTCTCTGAGATCATGGAAATTGAACAGACCTGTACATGAAGATATCGGAATTGCGTCCGAGCGGTTTCCGGCAAAGAGAACATGAATCAAGGAAATGAGGCTCGGGGATAAGGTAATCAGCGCAGCCGGCGTAGAATTGCGGCGCAGTTCTCATAGTGAAAGAAGGAAAAGAAACGGAAAGCTGATGAAAATTCGCCGGAAATGAGAGCAGAAATCCGGGAGCTTAGAGTTTTAGGGCTAAAGCTCTGAGAAAGAAGACAGAGAGGAAATGGTAAGCCGAAGGGGAAGGAACACGCTGGGGCATTTGGGTTAATTTATAATTGATTGCCTGGAAAGTGAGGGAATCAGGTGCTTCGCGGACTACGATAAGCATACTTTTTTCCTTTTTAATTATAATTTAGTTTGTAGGTGGAAAATTAATTTCGTCATGTTTTATTTATTTATTTAATTTCCATCATTTTCAATTATTTATTGAAATAATTTAATATGCTTTTTCATTATTGGTTATTTTATGTCTGTAATTTTAAATATCATTTTCTGATTTTTTTTTTGGTTGTTGTCTTGCATTAATTTTTTTTACCTTTGCAATAATTATAACGCCTAGATTTACATTATTATATAATTATATATAAATATATTTAATTTAAAATTATTTTTGAATGAGCAACTTTAAAAAATAAATTTGAACTATTTTATAACGTGATTTTTCTAATATATATTTAAATTTAATGATAAATCTTAATTAAATATTTATAAATAAATAAATCTTTTACTAATTAACATTTTCATTTGTTTACACTGAAAAAAAATTACAACAGTAAAAATTAAATTAAATCTAAAAAAATATAGCAACACTAGAGAACCCAATTTTATCAAATAATAATATTATTTGGGTTACCATGTCTTCTTTTACTATAAAAAAAATAAAAAATACGAAATTATTTGATTGGTTGAAATTACGTTGCTTTCAATAGAGCGCAAAGCAGTGGATAATTGCCCATTAGAAAACCCTGGTTTTGAGATGGGTGGTTTTCTCTGTTCCGTGGTGAAAATCTATTGGCTGGAAATGCATGCATCCTTTTCCCCAACCCAATGGGCCAATAATAATAATAATAATAATAATAATAAAGAAATTAATATTATTTGTTTAGTTTTAGAATTTGGTCCTCTATCTTTTTCATATTACTATATTTCGCTCTCAAATTTATTGTATTTATCGTCAAGTGGGGGAGTGAGCATAAAATCATCTAGAAGGGAGGCTTTATGTAATAAATTTTAATATAATATTCCCTGTTCATGGGGTATTTACATTGTTTGAAAAGGACTAGTTGTGCAAATAAAGAAAATAGTTACTATATTAATTTTTTTTTATTGAAACCGGTACGAGAAATCGATCCATTAATAAGTTCAGCTGTAGAATAGGATGTTATATTCAACGATACCTAATAAAACGTCTCAACTAATTGTCTCGGTTAATGATTTTGATATTTTTGTGATACCCGAGTAAATAAGTGGTACACGAACGAACCGATACTATATTTGAAGGAGAATGACCTCGTATGACCCTAACACATATGGGTAACTTTAAAGTTAAACGTGCGTAATTTCAAGCAATTCTATATTCGGTGACCTCTGAAATTTTTACTAGAAAACACGAGACTAATAACAAAACATACTAAAATGATGGTTTTCATTATTTCGAGCAGTTTTTCAAAACATTATAAGATGGTTTGCCGGGGTCACTAGGTATCGAGTTCGAAGCTCGGGTTTATCTTATTATATATATAGTAATTATTTGGGTGTATATTTAAGTATCAATTATTATTCTAATTAACAGTGAATAATTTAAATGATTATTTTTTGCAATTGTTACGACTTTAAAATCAATTTGATATTTTAATATGAAGAACGTGAATATAATATTGAGATAAAATCTTGTCAATGTTTTTTTGAGATCACGATAATAATAAGAAAATGCTGGGGAAAACATGTAATAAACATAAAGTTGGGGGTTCTAGTAGCAAATAATTAAACTTTTCTCATTTTAGTCCAAATGATTGAACTTTTTGGTTTGAAACGGTGAGCAAATGGCATGACGTAATTAACTCAAAAAGTAGGGGTACGATTGGAAAAGTGGGTCTTCTTCCAGCCGTTTCGTTTCCTCTTCAAATGAATAATGAATGGTGGGACCCCCACAGCTAGGGTTGGAAACGACATAATTTGTTATTGGAAGGGCAAAATGGTAAAAAGAGCAAACGAAAAAAAATAAATAAATAAAAGAAAAAAGGTGACTGGAACGGAAAAGAGGCTTTGGAGCAGCAAACGAAAAAAAATAAATAAATAAAAGAAAAAAGGTGACTGGAACGGAAAAGAGGCTTTGGAGCTGACTGGGTGGTGGGACCCAAAAAGCGAGCGAGAAAGACGACAAAAAAAGACAACGATGCAGTGGACCCCGCCTGACTCATGGTCTAGCTGGCTATGCTCCCAAGGTCCTTGTCCTGCGGGGCCCACACACTCTACCCGCATCCCTTTGGGCAGCAACTGTCAGCACCCACTTTCCATCTTAAGCTGCCCGTTACACGTGGGACCCATCAGAGTCTCGACCGGAAGAAACTGCACGTGCTACGTGGTGATGATACGAAACGGCTGGACATGCAAATTTCTGGTTTTTGAAGGTAAGGATGAACGGTTAGGATCGCGCCACGGTTAGACTGCTCTAGACCAATAAATAATTAATATAATAAAAACAAATAATTATTTATTAATATTCTTTTTTTTTTCGTTTAAAAAATGAGTGGAAGAGCTTGGGGATGAGATCAAAAGGATTCTATTTCACGTGAATTTGGAAATTAAAAATTAAAATTAATAAAATAATATATTAAGTCAATGATGCAATTTTTTAAAAATTATAATGAAAAATATATATCCACGTGTAAGCTTGGTGATAAGGGCAATTACGTTTCAATTCTCAATAAAGTTTTTTAATAAATTAAATGCAAAGGACAGGTGGGGCTTGATAGGTAAAGAACATTTATATTTAAATGTCTTTACAACTAGTTTTGTTTCTTTATTTTTAAGCATATAAAATTTTGTAATTTGGATCCAATTTTAAACTTTTTATTGAATTTAAATAATGATAGAATACGTTAAATTTTTATTAGCGTTGGTCAATCCACGTTTGCCACAAAAGAACACAGAGAATAACACGTATCCTTAACATCATCACTTATATATATAATGAGATCTAATATTGGTTGGAGAGATAAATTGAGCATCTTTTACAAGAGTGTGAAAACCTCTCCTTAATTGACGTGTTTTAACACTGTGAGACTAATGACGATATATACTAGGATAAAACGAACAATGTTTACTAACGGTGAGCTTGAACTGTTATATATATAATACATATACACACCAGAGCAATTACTTCAGTATGATGCACGTGGATATAAAATTTATGGTTTATCACATATTACTTAATCGCCTGATGTCCTAATGCGTGAATACCTAAACTCAGAGTCGCCCAATAATCAAGGGAAAAAATATGAAATAAATGTATATCCAAAATTAATTTTTAAAGTTCCAATATGAAACGGGTACAGATCTAAATGTTTGCAAAATTTAATGCATATTGAAAATTGTGTTGATTTTGTTGGTCTTTTACAACGCAACGGTAAATAAAAATAAATAAATAAATAAATAAATGGTTTGGTTGGGCAGTTAATACTGGTAACTTCTAGTGTACTTCTAAAGCAACTAGATAATTCAGGTCCCAATTTGTGCGAGTAAATATGTAATAACTCAACAAGACAGCATCACGTGAACATCTGGTCGGGTTTCATTTATAATCACGTGACTGAAAACAATTTTGTCTGTGCATTCATGGGCCCGAGTGGCCCAATGGACGTGAAGCCCAGTTCCGAGTTCACAGTGAATGGGCTCGGGAAAGCCCAAGAGGAAGAAGCTCATTTGGCCCATACTTAGCTATATTTGTGAAATTGTTAACAAATGCAAGATGAATTAAATCATATCCATACAGATTCAAATGAGAATTCTTCAATGTTTATGAGGTCTAAGCCACCAGATTATGACCAATAAGGCCAAGCAAAAATCCATCCTAATATATTTATTTGTGAATGACTTGAAATTCAACACAGAAAGGGTAAGCCCAAGATGATGTGTTCCCAGTAGGTATTTCGACCGAGGAAGGCTAACTCGAACTGTCACAATGAGGCAGTGTTATGAAGGAACATACAATTGGAAATAGATAAACAGAAAGGTGGCCGATTTGCGAATTGAGGAAATTATCCTGTAAGGGCAGCATTCAGGGCACTGTGCACGTCGACTCCAATTTGGGCTTCGGCTTTCTCCAAGTCTGTTGAGGCAGAGTTCAACTTCTGGGTGAATTCGGCAAGACCCTTCTGTACTTGGTCGGGGTCGATTTGGTCTACAGGCACAGCTTCCACGGCGATTATGTCAGCATACGAGTTGCCATGGATGAATGCAAAACCACTGCTCACGAAGTACTTTTTGGTGTCGCTCCCTTCGTGCACTGATAGAACTCCTGGTTTCAACTCTGCGATTGTAGCTACATGGCCGGGAAGAACACCCTTCGTGCACTGATAGAACTCCTGGTTTCAACTCTGCGATTGTAGCTACATGGCCGGGAAGAACACCCATTTGCCCAGTTGTGGCTGGAATTATTACCATGTCAACCTGTTCGGAATGGGGGGGGGTGAAGAACAAAGACTTTTAAAGAAGGGCAATGAACAATCTGACTCAAAACTTTGGGTCCCATTGCAATTTGTATCCTTAATCATAGCAACATGGCAATGAACAATCTGACTCAAAACTTTGGGTCCCATTGCAATTTGTATCCTTAATCATAGCAACATCTGTGATAAAGAGTGTTCATGAGCTCAAAACAGAACAATTGAAGTGAGTATAACCTTTGAGCATTTAGAGTTAACTTCTAGGTCTTTGGCATATATACCAAACAGAACAAGTGAGTATAACCTTTGAGCATTTAGAGTTAACTTCTAGGTCTTTGGCATATATACCAAACAGAACAATTGAAGTGAATTTGAAATAGCCTCTCATCAGTAAGAGAAGAAAAATGAAGAATAATTCGAATCGATGCACTAGGTTTATTATAAACTTGGATGCATAAACTCTGAGTAACTTCTAGCAGCTCAAGTTTACAGATAACGTACTTTTCTTTTTTACCTCTTATCTATTTAACTGTAGCATTCACTACTTACTGAGGTTGGACGATGTGTATATTGGAAAACCCACAGAATCTTTAAGGAAAAATTGGAAAATGGATATATAGGTATGATTTTGTTTCTAGTCTTGGAAGTCAAGTAAGGGGAATTCTCTCCAAAGAGTTTTTTATCGAGGTATGATTTTGTTTCTAGTCTTGGAAGTCAAGTAAGGGGAATTCTCTCCAAAGAGTTTTTTATCGAAGAGAAGAAATCCCCAAGAAGCATAGAGGAAAGAGTTTCGTAAGAATTGTCTTGAGTTCTTGCCAGCCCATGACGTGAGTGATCGTTGACCCTGTCCCTGATTTTCTTATTTCTACCTCATGAGAATAAATTCTACTAAAATCCACAAATCTGTTTTTTGGTCTTTCATAGATTTTTTTCATGGCTCGGCCCAAAGTTTCTCTCGCCAATGGAAATGGAATTGGAGAGGACAGAGTTGACTTTCTCAACATCGAAAGGTGTCCTTCTATGAAGCAAGTCTGAAGAAAGCTTTGGAATATTATTTTGGGCACGTTCCCTAGAAGATTTGCTCGCGCTAAGTTACGATCCAAAAAGAAGAAAAAAAGGGGAAAATGGTGGGCCAATTCTCCCTAGGAAACTTTCCCTCTTTATTCTTTTATAGTTAGTTATCCGGGGAAAATGGTGGGCCAATTCTCCCTAGGAAACTTTCCCTCTTTATTCTTTTATAGTTAGTTATCCGAACTAGTAGAGTCATGTAATATTTGATCTCCCTTTTATCCTCATCTCTTTGTACATGTTCTTTTGCTAATATGTGTTTTAACCCAAAAGGGAAAAATAGAAGGCGTTAATGACATTTGTACATGTTCTTTTGCTAATATGTGTTTTAACCCAAAAGGGAAAAATAGAAGGCGTTAATGACAGGGTTCTCTTCACCAGTAGCCCCTTATGAATTTTCAATACTGAAGAGAATAGAATATGTAAGTACCCATTAGAGGATCTTCCCTCTTTAAACTAAGCACAAGGACCTGGGGCTGGGATATAGAAAACAGTACCCATTAGAGGATCTTCCCTCTTTAAACTAAGCACAAGGACCTGGGGCTGGGATATAGAAAACAACAGCCACCGGTATAAGTGGACAGTTGCTGCATAGGATTCTGGATGAGCTAAGAAACAAATATATAAACCCTTTAAGAACTGATGATAATGTGAACAGATGAATGAAAATGCCGCCTTAATTTATCAGAATTTTGCTGATATAACAGCATTGGATAAGACAAGCCTACGCTACAGATACGCAGATTTAGCAGTTCTTGATACGGCATATCAACAGGACTTAGATACTCCTTGACCATGAGCAAATAACATGACATTTACAGAGTTCATACAATTTGATCTGATCATCAACATGTCTACGAATATGAAAAGAAAACGTCGAACTTCCTCCAGCGTGAAAAGATAGTATAAGGAAATGAATGCCAAAGATCAAAACCAAAAACAAGAAAATCAAATCTACGAAACGTACTGATGAAGTGAAGGAATTCATCTTTCATATCCAGAGGAAAAAATACAATAACAGCTTCCTGCACTCGTATAAAATCCATTTCCAGTCCAGCATTCGTAACCATGGACACGAAATGCTAATTTACGTCAATTATTTTTCTCTAAACATCCGATTGCATTAATTACGAAGGTTCGAAACAATGAACGAGTCACGATTTTCCATCAAAATTAGCAGACAGAAGGTTAATCCAAGAGTCAATAAAAACATATAAAAAAAATCCACAACTAAATCAAACCAAATCAAATGCATCAAAAAATTGGAAATCACACACAAGATTCAACGCCTGGTACTCAAAATAAAAAAATCACCAGGCAAAACAAAATTCGAAAGACTAACCTCTTTGGCCGAGAGCTCGGAGGCATAAGGAAGAACAAAGTTGACAGTGAGCTTAGTAGGGATGGAAGACGGCGTAGCAGGACGAGGAGCCATGAAAGAGAGAGGAGTTTTCGGAGGATCAATAGTGGGGATCGCCTTCTTCCAGGCGGCGACAAAGGCATCGTCAGTTGAAGAAGCCGCCGGCAGATCGGCGGAGAAGGATCTAGCTCTTGCAGTGAGAAGAGGCCGGGTCAAAAGGGTGGAAGCTCGTCGGAACATGGCGGAGACTGGAGGGGGGGCCGCTCGGCTCTCGCAAGGTCGGAGAGAGATGAAGAAGGAGAAGTGAAAGGGTTCCGCTGGTGCTGTTTGGAAGCTGAGAAAATGGAGGAATCGGCTCAAGGATTTTGGATCTGAGCATCATAGATAGCCTTTTCCTCTCACTGTTGTATTGGGCTTTTGAGTGTCCTTTTGGGCCCATAATTTATTTCCCTTCATGGGCATTTTGGGTAACAAAATAAATTACTAATGAAATTAAAAAATAAAAAAAAAGTAAGTTAATATATTTGTGAATAATTATAAATAAAAAATTTCAAATTTTGAATAAAAATCTTGAATTAAGATAAATTTATTAAAATAAATAATTATTCGCTCTCGTATTTAACTAGTATTGTTCAATGAAAGTCCCACATCGGCTAATTTAGAAAATGATCATGAGTTTATAATCAATGAATACTATCTCCATTGATATGAAGTTTTTTAGGGAAGCCCAAAGCAAAATCATGGACAATATTAGTCGTATATCGTTTTTGTCCATCTTTTTTATCGTTTGACCGAGTCTCGTATGGGAGGGACTCTTCTTGGTTAATAGTGTCTGCCCCCTTGTCTTGGAAGCAAGCTACCAGTGCCTATCAGCGAGAATTAGGCTCGGCTGGTAGGCAAAGCGAAAAGGGACCAATAAATACTTTGATCTATCCCGCTGCTCTAGAAGATATCAACAAGATCTTTAGGAGTATCCGTGCTGAAGGTACTATTTTTGATGGCCAACTTAGAAGATCGACAAGAATCAGGAAGCTCAATCAAGGCAAAAGCCAGTTATGCGGATATTGTGACACTTTCACATGGTTGACTCGTCTTCCTGTTCTAATCAGAAGCATCCATCAGCACCATGCTGGTTTAGAATTCGATTGTTAGGGCTAAGGTTCTCCTTATCCTCCTCCCTTTATATATATAACAGCACCTACATAGCTCATCTACGTACTTATCTAATCTATCACCCAAAGGGTTTAGCAACAGAGTAATATAAAATTCCGTTAAAGATCCATTGCTCTATTTTGTGTGCTCGTCTCCTAAAATGTAGAGAAAGTCGAACGATAGACCTTCTAGAAAAGACCAAAACGAATGAGCTCACTCGGCTTGTATAATTAAATAAAGTTTCAGTGAATTCACGACATTCTAGTACCAATGGACGTCTCGATACAATTAGTGTAATTTAGGCGATGAAGTACTTCTCTATTATATTTTTGCTCATGTTATTTTAATAATTATAATTTTATTAGACTTCATTTATTTTAATTAAAAAAAGAAAAAAATGTATATATGAATTAACCATTAATGGGCTTTTAAGGTGATTGGCCCATAATTAATTTGATTTAATGGGCTTTTGGGCTTAAAAATGCTAAACAATTGGGCCCATTACGAGGTTTCTTTGTGAACCTTTTCTTGATGTGATTATAGTTAATTTTCAACTAGTTTCCAAATATTTTAAAACTTATAATTTTATCCCGATCCCGATCCCGATACTGACCTATAAGTTATTGTTTAAATCAACGTGACATCGAGTTGAGCTATGCTGATATGGTATGATATGATAATACGATGAGTCTTGATATTTTGTTAGAGATACATACCTGACTTCTGTCATCAGCTTGATTTGGTAAACTTATTCCTCTTTATATTCTTAAATTGGAATCTTCTGGGTGAGCCTTTTCACAGGCGTTCTTCAATACGAGGTCCACGTGGCCCTATATAGACCATAATCACGTGGACTTTAACCCTAACCCTAACCCTAACCCTAACCATAACCATAACCATATTTTAATTGGAAAGGCCATATGTTAAGGCTAACCCTAACCCTANCCCTAACCATAACCATAACCATATTTTAATTGGAAAGGCCATATGTTAAGGCTAGGGAAACCACCTATCTCAATGCTATTATTTTTTGCGACAATCAATCGGTTGGTATAATGTCCTATGTTCTTATTAAATTTGGACATGTGGCGTTCCACCTGCCACGTCACTTGATCGAGAGCGGACGTCAAACTAGATTTTGTTCGAGACTAAATTCAATTTCACGTGTCGGATATATTGGTGTGTCTAAAAACGTTAATTAAACAGTAATTTAATGAATAAATCATCCATAGATCAAATTTAAT